GAATTCTGGGAGTTGAAGTCCACCCATCTTAAAGTTGCCAAGGTTGAGGAACCCTGTTCTACTGTACCATCCTGCCCATTCCCTAATATGTACTGGAGAGACCCCTTTTTGAAGTGCCTATGGTGGTCAATGCACAGTAGTTATATAAAGTAGGGGTAGGCATCAAAGGCTTCTTTTGTGACCACCTCTCCAGTTTTTACACTGATACACCAGTGTGGCACACTGGTTAGTGTCATCCTAGGAGTAGAAAATCATTCCTTAATTACGTATAAATGGGGCGGGGGGGGGAGAGAGAGAGGAAGAGAGATAAAAGAGTCTTTATTACAGTGACAGACCAGAGTTCAAAATAAAACATGTTGAAATTAAAAAAGAATAAACCAAAACAAAGCAGGATAAGAATGTTGCAATTGGTGGTGGATTCATTGGTGGGTAGCCAGACTGTCTAATTTTACAGGCAGTGTAACATATACTTAGTATGTTTAGATATAGCCCCCACTTTGCCACTGAGTGACTTGGGACCAATATCAGAAGATTCTTGTGGGGATAACATTGACTGAATCTGGTGAATGAGGTGAGGTACAAATAACTAGGGGAGGGTGTAATATATTCACTGTCTAGCGCTAATTCATGGCTGAATGAATACACATGCAATGATGCAATAATTATGGTGACTTTTATCTGGTTTTGTTTCAAATATCATCACCTGCCCCTGGGCACTATAAATGCAATAAGTGGTTAAGCTGTAACAGTCCCAATACATTATAACCAAGAAACAGTTTCAAAAATATTGAGGGGATGAAGAACTTAACAAAAGGAAATTTAAAAATACATTTTGTTGCAATGCTACAAAACATTGTGAAGAAATTAATAAAGCAAATTTTAAATTGAAAAAGAGAAATAATATAGAGACATGCAATTTTTAATGCTCCATTTAGATGAAACCAACAGATCTAAACTGTTTTCTAGCTGTGGCAGTAAAATGATACAAACAGGACAACATTCTTGCAGCCTCAGAGCTGTGCGGTTCTGGGGCTGCTTGCAGCCCCCAAGGCAGGGTGCAGGATGGCAGAGATGGGGGAGAGATAGGCAGGTGGAGGAGTTGAAGTGTCTCTGTGGCCATAAGTGCAGGCGGGCTGCCAAGTACCTGAACTTTGATCATGTGACCTTGGAGTGCTGCAACAGCCATAACTTTGTGCACAGGTTGTAAGTTCCTTTGTTCAGCACCGTCGTAACTTTGAACGGTTGCTGAACAAATGTTCATAAGTCAAGGACTACTTGTAATGTGGACTTTAAAAATCATTTTATTAGATGTGCCATACTGAGAACATGGAATAGATATAAACTCAGGTTGTGTCCAAAAACACCTTTATGGATCTCAGCTCAGGAAGCATATTATAGAAGAGAACTGGTAGACAAAGATAAATGGTTGACATACCGGGACTTATTGGAAAACTATCAAGGGGAATTTAAAATCAAATCAAGAGAACAATTAATAGTATAAGGATATAGTTGTCAATGGTTGTCCCATTTACAGTTATCTGAAAGATTTAAAATGGATAAAAAGACTTATGGTATGGAGCAAAGTAAGACAGAACTTGAATTATAACTGTGTACTGATGAACATGTAAATTGCTAAAACGTACAAACTTTTGTTGAAATTTGAAACAGAGGAAGAACAGGTTAAAAAAAATATGATAAAGTGGGCTAA